CAGATGCTTCCATACCTAATAGAATTGTTTATTTAAACAGTTGACTACCATGATAGTTCAAAATCACCTCTGAAGGTCTTAGTTTTAAAAGTGGTTTGTAATACACTGTTCAGTTGATAATTCTTTAAAAAACACAGAATCACCAAAGTGATGGCACAATCTTTAGTTTCTGGCCATTCTCCATATGGATGGAGATCCATATGGATCTTCAAAAATTCTGTACTTACCCTGGTGGATTCACAAGGAGACTGCAGTTAAAACAAAAATTCCACAATTGTGTAGGCATTACCCAGGGTGCTGAGGAATAGAAACATTTTACATTACAAAGTATAACACAGACATCTGCACCAGCTGTAAATACTGAACTCTTTAGACTGCTTGAAATTGCAGGTTGCACAGTATAAGCAGAATTAGTTCACAATCTAATGGTGTTGGACTAGAAGACCTTCAAGGTCCCTTCCAACCATATGATTCTATTGTCTTTAAAAAAGTGTTCCAAAATCCTGCACCACTTTCCAGTTATATTTCAAAAGGGATTTATTCATTTTTAAAATGTTATTTGTCATTTGAATACAGGTTCATGGGGTCATGAAGAGTCAGACACGACTTAACGACTGAACAACAACAAAAGTCTCCAGTTTAAGAACAAGGTCAGTTCCTAAGGTCTGTCCTTAAGTTGAATTTGTATGTAAGCAAATTGTATGATATTGCATAAGTAGTATTGTGTAATTAACTTGAACCATTGTGTATTTAACTCGAAGCATTTGGTATTTAACTTGAATTTTGCTACAATAGGCTCTGTTCTTTACTATGAGTCGTCCATAAACCAGGTGTTCTTAACCTGAGGACTACCTATATGTAAGAGGCTTCAATATATCTATGTCATTACTAACTAGTTAATGAGCTAACAAGTACATCAGGCTTGTTAAATCATTGTAAAATAAAGACCTTAGAAACATTTTTCCAGAAAAAATTGAATAGGAAAATTAGGTAACATTATTTGATGATCTGATCTAGCAAGCTTATTTGATTTATATTTTGCAAGCTGTACAAAAACATGCCATTTTAAATGTATATGCTAAGTACTGAGGTATTCAAGTGTATACATGTCTACTCAGTTTCAAATCTCACTGATTTCAATGGGACTTCCTAGCCTTGCTGTGTTTTAATAGAAGTTGTTACTGGAATAGTTGTAACTATATTAAGGAAGGCATGATAAATCACGCTGCAATCCTAAAGTTGCTTACCTGAGAATAAGTCCCTTTGAACTCAGTATGATTTATTTATGTGTATGTAAAGAATTGTAGCCTCAATATCATCCAAATGATATAATTTAAATTTTAAGAAAAAATAAAGACATTGAAGACAGTTATACTAATTCTAGTAAGCTTTAAAAGTGTGCATATAAATAAATGTACTTCCTAAAGCTTTGTGGAGCAGGGGGTGGGGGGGGCTTCAAATCAGTTTTTCATTCCTGGTGACTGCCTAGACTAGTCCCTGCAGTTTTCTTGGCAATGTTTTTTGGAAGTGGCTTACTATTGCCTCCTTCCTAAGGCTGAGAGAAAGAGACTGTCCCAAGGTCACACAGCTGGCTTTGTGCCTAAGGCAGGACTAGAACTCACAGTTTCCCGATTTCTAGCCTGATGCCTTAATCACTATACCAAACTGGCTCTCCTAAAGCTTATGCTATAATAAATGTGTTAATTTTTAGTTCTCAAAAGAATCTTAATTGTTTTTGTTGAAATATATTAACATCACTATCCAAAGAATCAACTGAAAAAAATTGAAATTATTACAGAAATAATTTAAATAATTTTAAAAAAATAATGGGAAGGCAGATTTATTAGCTTCAGTAAGGATTACTGAAATAATATGGCAAACATTTTCTAAAACTTATAAATGATTCATATTATAGAAAAAAGTTATTATGAAAAATTAATGTCATCTAATGAAACTTTTTGAGCTTACTACCAAGTAAATAAAAATGTCTTAATAGGTGTGTTATCCTAGAGAATTATCTGTCACAGTTAGTACTATGATCACTTGCACAAAAGTTATCAGATACTCAAAGATTCTTCCTGTTTACTTACGATCAATTAGATTATTAGAAAGTACCACTTTTCTTTCACCTTCCTTTTCCCTCTCTTCCTCTAATTTATATTCTTTTTCTAGTGAAGTTTTCAGTGTGAAGTCAGTTGATAGGTTGGGGGATGGGAGGGTACAGGAAAGCAACAACTATATCACAATTTCATCCAGTGGTGGATTTAAAAACATGGAGAAACAGACTTTTCAGACTTGACAGTCTTAGGTAGCTTTTTCTCAGGGGAACTAAGGTATAGCTACAGACTATAACTATTATTTGGAATAGCTAAAAATGTTCAAAAGCAGAATATATTTTATCGTCTCTTATCAGGAGAATACAGCAAATGATCATCGTGAGGGGAGGACTGTGACATCTTTGATCTTTTTCGATTGCTTAGATGGTGAGAATTAAAGCTGTACTTCTGTTCTAAGTAAGAAACAAACAGCTATCAGTAATAGTGATTAAGTTTAGCCTGGATGGGAATATACTATTAAAAAGATGTGGCCCCCAAAGTGGAATATACTTAAGACAAGTTAAACATTAATCATTTAATACCTTTTGCCTGCACTGGGTGTTTATAAATTTAATATAGAACTCAGGTGCTTGTTGTATTTCTATCTAAGCAAAGGAATTGGAGAAGCAACATTTCCCAATACACATGTATTTATGTTCACCCGCAACATTTTACCTCAGATACGTTAACAGCAAGCATCTTAAGCATGTCTGCTCAGAAGTAAGACCCTTATTTTCCCCTCAGTGGAGTTATTCCAGAGTAGCATGTTTAGCACTGCAATCTAAATTACTCAAAATGTTTATCCTCCCCCGGTACAGCATAAGGCGACTTCATCCCCTGCTGACGTGCTGTATTGGGTGTTGGCTGTGTGAAATTTCCTCCACTAGACCAGGCAACGACCTCACTTACCTAGTCAGTCAGAAAGGCAAGAGTTGCTTCAGGTGAAGTTTCCTGCATATTTAAATTCGGAATGGAGGAGGACAGATGAAAGGCAAGAGCAGGAAAGCCCCTACCCTTTCCCCAGTGTATCCCTCAGCAATATGCTAAAGTCGTTAATGGGAGGTAAATGCAGTTCACGTCCAGGGATGCTCAACCACCCGCTTTGCACCCGAGGTAAGGGGCTACACTCTTGCCGCTCTCTCTGGGACGGAAGCAGGCGCGGGGTTCATCCCCCGGGGGTGAGGCACGAGAGCGCTCCTCAATCCCCCTTCGGTCAGGGCGGGCGGGGAAAGCACGTGGAGGGGAGGGGAG